ACCGATGTGGATAATAATAGTCAATTTAATAAACCTAGAAAAAAAGGTAAAACCTGGAAGGGAAAAAAGGCCAAAGCGTGGAAAGTGATCCGAAGAATTTTTACAAATCATACATTAAAAATAATTATAAAAGACGTTTCGCGGAAAATTCTGCACAGGCGAAAAGCATTATTAAAGATGTTCCCCGCGAATTACAAGATTTACTGCAGATTGCCGAAACAACATTATATATTCAAATACATAAAGGAGACACTTGGAAATATTTAATTATAGGCATTCAAGACACGGCTGAAAGCCATAGAAGCCAGGGCCGGTAAAACCAATTCAAAAAAAAATTCAAGTCAGCAGTTTTTACTTCCACGTGTTATTGTTGAGTTTTTCAGAATAACTCGATAAGAAATAGCTTAATTTATAAAAAAAAACACATACGCACAACAAATTATAAAACGTAATTCAAAATCAATGGTGTGGCAATTTGTGCAGTGGGATAACAAAAAAAGTCAAAGCGTGAACATACTTTGAGCAGACTCCAAGGTTGTCAGGAGTATATGCTTACTGCTTTGCAAATGAAACAAACTTTTTCGCACACGACAGGTTTTTATTGGAAAGTTCGAAATACAATACACCGCATTAAGACTTATATAAACTGCTAATATGAAACACTAACGCGATTCACAACAATATAACGCCATCTATTAAAGAAAATATAAATTAAGGCAGGAAATTTCCTTATGGAGTAGTGTCGCGGGCGGTTCGCTAGTTCGTAATAAATAAAACGAAATTAACATTTACACTTGTTGATCATCTGTAACATAATTGTTTTTTTAATTTCCTTTAATTAAGATATGCTGGAGTTTTCTTGGAAAACTTCTACAAGCTGCGGAGGGTTTCGTGTAGAATGGAGTTATAGATTAAATAGTTTACGTAGAATTTTTTTTTTTTTGTTTCCTCCCAGGCGGGGGAGAGGGTGAGAAATCCTCATGGATACCCTACAGCCGGCTGTAAGGTTATGTCAGACTCTTACTGACTACACCCTTTATTCATGCTTATGGCCAGAAGGGCCTTACAAGCTTCATCTGAAGCGATCAACCCCAGAGAGGGGGAAGATGCGGCGCTGCGTTAGTTTAAACTAGTGCATAGTTTAAAATAACGCAAAATGCGCTTAGAGGACAAGTGCACTCAGATGTGCACTTGAAACGGGAGGGGACTGAGAGGAGTCGAACCTCTCTGTGTCGGGGGGGCGGGGGGACTCACCGCGAGTGTTGGATCCTCAGCGGCCAGGAGGGCCGCGAGATCGCGTGTGAGTTTATTGTGTGTGGCTGTGAGTGCGTGTTTGGGCCTACGGGGCCTGAAGCGAGATGGAGTGTGTGGGGCGTATCCCGACGCCGATCTGATGAGTACGTAGAAATTATAATCAGTTCATTTTATTTAATTTGAATGATCAAACTAAGTTGATTCAAGTTTTAATGCAGTCCTATTTAAGTCATGCTCTGCCTCTCTCTTTTTACATCTTAAGATATATTGGTTTATAAAATAGCGGGGATTTTAGAATTTACTTGAACGCGGCAGAATTATTTACGAGGGGCAATCTTGCACCTTGGTAAGTATTCCCACCATACCTGAGCCAAATATATAAAGATTATAGAGTCACACATGTAGAGCACCAAAAAAAAATTCAACAATCGGCCAATACTTCTGTAAGCCATGCTACTTATAGTACTTACAAATATTATAACCTACAATGCACTTTTGTGACAGATTTTTATTCTCCGCACGAATTTAGCATTTACCAGTGCATCATTGATAAGCCAACACATAACTGTGTCTTATGTAAGACTTATAGCATTATAAGTTGCTATTCTCAAGAGAAATATGCTTTTTGGATAGTGTCTGTCGTATAGCGACAAAATAAATAGATAATAAAGGTAAGGAGAAAACAGAAGAACATAAATACAGTTTACAGAATATATATATTTACGACATTAATAATGAATATTTACAAAACAAAAAAAATATATATATAGTATGGGTGTCATGGATCCACGTAGAGCATGATAAAACTTTTTGTTAAGTATGTTCTTTTTAGTGATTCGGTTTATAAATATATATATATATGTATTTGATAGCTATCAAGAAGAAAAAGACTGTTTTTTGTTTCCCATTGAATGTTATTTGTTTTTTTTATCATTTTTTTTTATTCTCAAGAGAAATATGCTTTTTGGATAGTGTCTGTCGTATAGCGACAAAATAAATAGATAATAAAGGTAAGGAGAAAACAGAAGAACATAAATACAGTTTACAGAATATATATATATATTTACGACATTAATAATGAATATTTACAAAACAAAAAAAATATATATATAGTATGGGTGTCACGGATCCACGTAGAGCATGATAAAACTTTTTGTTAAGTATGTTCTTTTTAGTGATTCGGTTTATAAATATATATATATATATGTATTTGATAGCTATCAAGAAGAAAAAGACTGTTTTTTGTTTCCCATTGAATGTTATTTGTTTTTTTTGTGATCTTTAATATAGTTATTTTATCCCAAAGGACTATTTTATTCTATTAGTGTCTTGGGCAAGGCGTAAGCCAGGTAATCATCCAAAAGAACCTGGAAGAAGCGAACAAATTCTTCACAGTGGGTGTATAAAGTGTGGAGGACACACCTGGTATAGTGGGCGTGAGTCGTCGGCTATCTTCAGTGGAGGCTTGAGGGTCGGGAGGCCATGCCGCTGGCAGACGGGCGGCTCTCCTGGAAAGAGGCAGCGCTCCTGGTCGGGCATCTCCCTTGATACTCGACCAGCACTGCTGGTGGTTGGCAGGCGTTGCTGGTAGGTGGGCCGGTGCTGAGGTAGGACGGCTAGAGCTGTTGGTGGAACGGCAGGCGCAGCTGGTAGGTGGGCTGAAGCAGCTGGCCAGAGGTTGCAGCTGGCGATAGGTGTCCGTCGATGACAAAGGATGTTGAGTGGTTTGAAGTTCAGTAAAGGAAAAGGACGTTATATAGCCAAAGGGTGCCGCACGGCTTTGAGGTCTATGCTTGAATCCCGGGACGGCCAGCCCCGGGACAAGGTCTTTTAGTAATTTAGAACTTACAGCCAGCTAACAAAAGTTTGCTTGGCAACTTTTGCCGAAGAATTGTTTGCAGAATCAGAGCGACTCAGCCGTTTATAGGTTCAGAACCATTTAAATTTAGAGAAGGTTAAAATTGAACTAAAAATAATTAAAAATAGGCCGGCTAGGCATAAAGCCAGTCGGAAAAAGTATTCGTGTCATGGGCAGCCACGGCAACGGTGAAAACTTGTAGATGCCAAATATGTCAAGAAAATTAATAAACATAATTATTCTTAAAGATAAATAAATCAGAGTAAAACATAGAAAAATAATTCCGATGATACTATATGTGACTATATATAAATATAAAAATATATAGAAATGGCGGTAGGTGTCAAGCACTCCGGAATAACGATTTTAGTAGTTGGGATTCTGATATGTATTTACAAATTGTTTACAAAATGATAAATAGTGTGTAATGTCATTGAAGTCATGCGATTCCAGGGATGATAATAAAATATATGTGTAAATAATGGTAGTATGCTGAAATTGATGGATGACAAGAGCTGTAATGAGGTATGCTACAGGTCTTAATGAAAAAAAAATCCCTCTTATAATTACAATGTTAAGATAATATTGCTAATTCGCGTAAGAAATTTAATAAAATCATGGAAAGACATTCCGATCGAGAAGGGTTTAGCTTATTTTTGTCCTGTTATTATTATATTTGATTTTGTGACCGTCGAAGCATAAGTTCACTTCTTGATTACGCATACTTTTAAAATAAATATGAAATAATTAAATTTTTAAGATCAGGAAACTTCGTGTTACGCATCGAGTGTGATCAAATTTCGTCAATCGTGATAGTGCATCTTATAACTTACAGTGACGGTGAACTTCCAACATATTTAAAGTCAAAATTCATTCATTATATTTTTACGAAGTGGATGTCTTAAATTATGTAACGGTTATCATGATAAGGAAGCTGTGAATATTACTCAATGCAAGAAGCAAGAACACTATAGAAGAATGACATATTTTGACTGCAGTTAATAGCGCTGGAAATCCTCTTTAACCTTATATAAAAAGATATGACGCATCGTTGGCGCAAGAGATGAGTAGATATATCTAACCAATAACTTGGTGTCATTTACTGTGTTAAGTCGACCCTACTCAAACTTAGGCAGCTCTCAAAGATCGAGTGGCTTTCCGGTATTCAACCGTAAGATCGTATTCTTTCTTTAATCTTAATTGAAACTATGCGATAAAATCGTACGAAATGAAACTACTCGAAGCATTTGATTAGGAATTTACGGATGAAGTAAATAAAGTGTTGCATTTTTTGGTTAGAAATGCTGTATTCGTTATTCGGAATATATTTTTTATTGCTAAATGGTAAACGAAATTTATATTATACTAGTGGCCCGCCCTCGCTTCGCTTCGGTGTTAGACTACAGTTTTTGTTCTCAGGCTTGTATTATACACAATGACATTCATCTATGATTCTTCTCATACCTGCATGCAAAGTCTCAGCCCGATCGGTTTAAAATTGACAAAGTTTCATAGAAACTTTCATTCCCTATTTTATCCCCTTGGGGGTAGAATTGATCAAAATCCTTTCTTAGAGGATGCCTACGTCATAACATCTACCTGCATGTCAAATTTCAGCCCAATCCGTCCATTGGTTTGGGCTGTGCGTTGATAGATCACTATGTCAGTCAGTCAGTAACCTTTCAGTTTTATATATATGGATACCGACATTCATACTTAAGCTATCACAAATACTACTATTAAAAATACCCATTCAAATCCATTTAGTTTTTGTTGAGTAACAAATGTTTAAAGATTGAGTTCAAGCACTCAAATTATAACATTTGTCGGATAGTACTGATACTATGAAATAGAAATACATTTTCATCATTATTTTGTTTTCTTTAAGGTATATTTTTCGTGAAATGCCAACTTTGTGGTAAGGAATGTCCAGCAGACACCAGCGAGATAGCTTGCGGTTTCAACGCCGGAAATAGCTCCTACAAGATGTTCCCAAACAGATGTGCTTTAAATCGATTCAAGGATTGCTACAAGGCAGGTAAGTTAAGGCATAGGTCCGAGCTCTGCATTGCACAGGCCTCTGTATGTAGGTGGGGATGCCCTCGATGCCTCGGGGCATCCCCAAGTTGGGTGGGTCCGTTCGACTCGGACACTCACTGGTGGGGCTGTGGATGTATCCGAAAGGGTTCCCATGGCCTCACACAGTGCCGCTGCCTCGTCGGTGAGGTGAGGGGCATCGTCAGGGTTTTAGTGGGTAGGGCCCCCCTTTCTCTCAAGTTGCAGCCGTTGCAGCCGTTGAGCCAGCCCTTGGACTGGCTGAACGGGTGGACGAGAGAAGGAGGGGAGGAGTCCCACATAACCGAACCGCACTCCTAGAGCGGTGAGGCATGCGTAACGCATTTTCCTGACGTTAAAAAAAAAAAGGTAATTTAAGGCATAATTTCTTATTGATGTGAAACACTTATTGCGGTGGTACGGATGTAAGAACGGCTGTTCAGAAGCAACGCTCCTAATGGCGGATAGACCTTAGCGTGACGTCAGCTTTCTAGAGCTGGATTCGGCTAGCACTCTTTTCCTACTTTACACAGATTCATTTACACGCATCTGATAGGCATCCCACGACATCTCATGTTTTTTATGTAAAAACGCACTCATACATATTTACTTTGGACACGTGCTTGTAACCCGCCTGACGGCAAGCGGTCATTTTAGCATATTAGCGCTTGCGGTAACCTCCCATGACATCATTTTTTTTCTCCCCGTATGAAAATAATGTCGTAAAGTTATTTGGTAATAAAAAAAATATAATGCGATTAATTGATAAATGAAATATAAAATGAGAATCATCTCGTATGTATTACTTTTTTCTATTTACAGACATGATAGAAACACCTTTAAAATATTGCATAAAGTATCACCAGGAGTCCAGCGCTCGTAAGATGTACGGGGAGTCTTGTCCAGTGTTTTGCCCAAGCCATTATCGACCAGTGTGCGGTGCAAATAAGATCGCAACTTACGTATACAGGACCTTTACTAATGGATGTTACTTGGACATGGTCAATTGTAGGGGCGATGAAGATTTCTCTTGTAAGTGTTTCTCATCATTCATAATTAGCTTATTAATGTTTCAAACTTTCATAGTCACTAACACTAAAATAATTTTTGTTATAAGATCCCGCTTGGAAAACTATATATAGCAATCCCTTGCTGCCATGTTTTTTTTGCGAGTCCCCGATATTTCGGCACTATTGCAAGCGCCATGATCACGGAGTAACTCATATCGGGGACTTGCAGTAAACAAGGAGCAACCCCGCTAATAACAAAAAATATTACAGCCTATTAATGTCCCCACAGCTGGGGCACAGGCATTCCTTATGTGTGGAATAGGAAGACTGAGGTCACCCACCACGCGGGACCAGGGCGGATTGGTGCGCGTGCTAACGACAGCAGAAGCAGCCGGGACCAACGGCTTAACGTACCTTCCGAAGCACGGAGGAGCTCGAGATACTAAATTTTTGGTCACCCATCCAATGACCGACCGCTGCTGAAATTCGATTAACTTCGATTAACAATCACAGAAAATGCGCTAACCAAGTGTTTAGTGGTGCAAGTGCGCCATCGAGATCCTCGTCATTATCAATCTTTTAATGTTCCAGGGATCCCTAACAGGGAAAATGGCTTAAGGTATCGAGATAGTAAATTTTTAGTCATACTTCCTATAATTTACGACGATAACAATTTATTTGTTAAGAGTTAATCAGAGAAATGGGAAGAAAGATTCTAAGAAAATGCGAAATTGATGAGTCTGTAAATAATTGGCAACATCTTTTATCAACTGTAGTAAGGTAATGAAAAAGTAGGAGTTCTCATAATTTTCAAGATTATGACTTTATCAAAGGTTCCTGAGCTTCTTTTCATAGAAATTATAAATATTCAGCGATTTACCATTAAATATTACTAACTACAGTATTTATACATTGCCAGGGCAGTCGCCCATACAAAACTTTACCATGTCCTTTATAAATCCTACACGAACAACGTAATTTTGTGACTCATTTCTTTGTCGTACTATTCGCAAGTGGAATTCGTTACCCGCCCTACGTTTTTCCCCCTCTTACAATCTGGGGTCATTGAAGAGAGACGTGAAGAAGCATTTCTGCAGGTTGGCAAGGCCGCAAGGTGAGGATGGTTGGTGTGGCAGTTTATAACTGCTGTACCAGCTGTCGTCTGGACTCTATCCACACCACCTAAGATCAGGTGGAGCAGTCATTTGCCTACCTAGCTATAAAAAACTACACTAAATTATTTAAAACAAATACACACTCAAACTTAATAAATTTAGAAGTATCTTAAAACCACATCTAATTTACTATTTGACAGGAGAATGTTAAAAATTCTGTATTATCCCGAATAAAAAATATATAAATGTTCAAACTAATTATGGTTTCATTTCGGTTAAAAGGCTACCCTACCATAAGTAAATAAAAATAGCGAAAAAATTAAACAAACATTCTAATTTTATTTCTGCTACTCCCCACAGTACCTATATCTCGAAGAGCGGAAGCAAGTTGAGAGACATTTGAGAAATATATATTTGATAAAATTATTGCTGTCACGCATTGGCAAATCAGCTATCTTCGCGTTTGGACTTTATTACCACTTAACATCAGGTGGGGTAGAGTCATTTGCCTACCTTTATATATATAAAAAAAAACCGTGTTAAAGGGTAACGCTGAAAACTGTGTATAAAAATTGCAAAATTCGAGGTTAGGCTCTCGACGATTTCCTCCTTGAAAATGAAGCATATTTAAAATAAATTTTACCCATAGAATAATAAGTAGTCATACTATGACTCAATATTTTGCTTTTTTGTAAATGCTTATTAAATCTCCACACTAGACTTTTTAGTGATGATAAAAAATTGTTTATTTTTGTACTTTTAGAGGGCTTCTTTTTTCTTTGAAACATAGGTTATCGAGAAAAGGAAGACAGGAGCATAGAATGAGTAAAATTATATTTTATGAATGAACATTGATTCTTTGGCGATAAAAATCAAGGAGGGATCAGTCGAGAACGTTTGTATGGAAAAAACATTACCCGCCTCCCCTCTTTATTGCTATGTAGATAAATACTGCGCCAAAGAAAAGCTTTATATATTCAGTGTGGGAAAAACAAAACAAATAAACAAACGAAACTAATATCTGAAACATTAAACAAACTCGTTAAACATTTAAAGCGGTGTTATTTTCCACTGTGGTCAAAGCTTCCACACTAACTAGGTGCATCTTGAAAAATATATTTTAAGTATAAATTAAATTAAGTAAATACAATTTTTTTCGTGTATTCTCTAAAAACCTTTGTATCCAGGGACAAGGCAATTTCAATATATTGTTTTAAATTATCGATAATCGTAACTTATCGACTTAAGATCTGACTGATGTGCATTTGTTTCTTTACAGCGTATTACGAAGTACCATTGGATTTTTGCCAAAGACACCTAATGAAGAATATTTTCCAAGAAAAATTGGTGATGTCAAACTTAAAGGATTACCACGACTACATGTAGTTTAGATAAAATTTTTCGTATTTCATAAGCAGATTATAAATTAAAATTAAATCATGTCAAATAAAATAACATAAATGATTATGATTTTATTTATTTTTAAGCATTTAACTACTAGATGTTTAAATGTAAAGAAAAGTTTACTAGAAAAAAATGTATACGTTAAATACTTATAATTTGAACACCGAGACAGAACCGGAATCTCTAATTCCTGCTGGCATCGAATTACATAGGCGAACGGCATGTACTGTGAAGGAATAAGATGCGAAGTCAGTGTTATGGGACATGTTAAGAGGGATTTGATATGGGATCTGCAAGGATCTGTAGAAGAGTGGACAAAGGAAAACCGCTCTCGAAAATAGGATTAATACGAAGGATTATAGAGGATGTTGAAAAGGAGGCAAAGGGTTCTCAAATTCCTGCGCAGGCGTATAGGATGCCAATTGAGTTCTTTACGAAGTTTGGAAACATGGTCATACTTCCGTACACAAACGATAAAACGGATAGCAAGGTTCTGCAGGCGCTCAAGTTTGTTCAATAAAGTTTCTGATGCATCTAAGAAGCAAGCATCGGCATAATCTAGAAGTGGAAGAACGAGTGACTGAGCAAGTGAAATTTTGGAATGCAAAGGTAAGAAATATTGAAGACATTTGAGGGAATGGAGCGTGAAGTACTTTATTTGATTGACATTAGCAACTTGGGCAGCCCAGGAAAGTTTGGAGGCGATTGTAAAACCAAGATTTTTAACAGATTTTTATATATTTTTTATTAACCGTTTATGTGTCAATTATTGTATAAAATTAATTTATTATAAGGTTTTGAAACTTGGAAATAAAATACATATCAAATGACACCCTTTGATCCAATAACTTGGAAATGTCACTATTTGATTCAATATTTTTTGTAAAATGTCACCTTTTGAAACTCACTCTCTAAAAAACCTTATGAAACATTCGGTATAAAAATAAAAATAAGAACAGATTCACACAATATATTTTTATTTCTTATACATGTAATTCCCCACAATCAGGTTCCTAGTTTGAACCGACTAAATACTCTTCAAACTATTTCTTAAGAATATGTCACTTTTTAAATTCAAGTCAATAATCACACTGATTGAATAAAAATGTAACTTTTTGTTCCGGAAGCAGCAGTTCACATAGATTATTCTATGAAACTAGTCACTTTTTGAACAAAATCTTGGAATTTAACATTTTGAGCCGATTGAAATAAAAAAACCGAATGGAGCAAAATACGTAAATGTCACTTCTTGTTCCTAACTTGCTCATACAATAGATACCTACACATTCCGATAAACAAAAAAAAAATATGTATTAATAGTTCATTGCTGTCTGTTCCCAATGCTGGCGAGAGCTCTCTCCACCAGTTTGTCGCTGAGCTACAAGAGCTAATAAAAACGCGCAACATTTTTGCTCAGGATTGTCTCCGGCGAGCGAGAGCGGCGCGAATAATCACCCCGACGAGAGAGAACTTGTGCTTCAATTACTATATTACTCGCACCCTCGCTTATAGTCCGGCGATAAATCTATCGGAATTACACATCTTCCCTCTGCTCGCCAACTCATTTCTAGTTTCTGTTGGAACTAGTGCCTGACGGACGCCGCCATCTAGTCACACTAGGTGAATCTAGATGGGTCGCAAAGTTCGTATAATACTTAAATTTTTATTTTTTAAGCAAGTAACTGATTGGTGTTTAAATCTTAAGAAAATATAACTAGAAAAAATTCCACACGTACCAGGCAGCAGACGGGACTCGAACCCGCACCCTTCGCTATCCTGGCGAAGGCACTGACCAATTATTCTACCGCTGCCCTGACATTCTTAAGCTGCAAAGCAGCGCCATTTCTTCGCATTGTAGGTAACCCACAATGTCAAATGAATACTTTTACAACTATTAAACATTTGAATGGAGAAATAGCAATTATAGTTATATTTTTTTTTTAGCATGTAACTGCTTGATGTTCAAATCTTAAGAAAATATAACTAGAAAAAAATCCACGCGGACCAGACAGCAGACGGGACTTGAACCCGCACCCTTCGCTATCCAGGCAAATGCACTTACCAATTATGCTACCGCGGCATATCGTATAATATGTTTAGGTTTCAACACTTAAAACTAAATGGCGTTGCAGACAATATATCATGTCAATATAGAGAAAAAAAGGGCTGTAAAGACACTTTTTATTGGCTTCTAAGTAGTAAAAATCTCAGATAATCGATTACTGTCTTTCATTTGAGCACCCATTTTACAATGAACCAATATCGAATAGTTAAAATCGATTTCGATATACAATTTTTAATGTGTACTGATTTTTTGTTCTCCTTACGTCCGTTGTGGCGCTGCTATTCAAGTTTCAATACAAAATTTGACATTGACTAGTCGCACTCGCAAACTATTCGAATTCGATATTGGTTCGTGAGGGTACAGGACTTCCAATAGAAACGTTTCTCTGTGCACGGGACAGGCGGGTGAGCCTGTCGCGTGCACGCAATAGGCTTTATATATTCATAAATTATTTATTGGCGTACAGCGACTCCATAAAAAGTGGATATTTATAATTCTGTTGGGGCCACTATATGAGTGAAAAGACAAAAATAAAAATTCTGTTTTTAAATTATCGCGATTCTTTAGCAAATAAGGCGTGTTTACAGGCAAGTGACGTCACACGGCAGTCATTAAACGTCAAACAGTACAAAGTAATGTCACTTCGACAGCATGTTTACAAGTAGATGACATCATTTTAAAGGCGGTGTTTTTGGTCACACGACAATACAACAAATATTATACATTTAATACTATCCACCACTTTTTTTACATATTTTTTTTGTATTTAACTGCCAGATGTTTTAATCTAAACTGAATAGTGAAAGCGTTTCCTATATTCATGTTAAATACACATACCAATGATTGATACTTTAATTTTCTTACTGTCAAGTATGAAACTTAGCTTTTGTCATTATTGTATCGTCCATGACTTCAAATTTCCTCGTGTGGCTGACTCTGACTCCACAGTCTCCGGTTGCGCAGGCCCCATCTTTCCGCGGGTGACTATTCCTAGTGGACGGGGTGCTAGCGATGTGGTGTGAGGATGAAAACGCACTCAAGAGGCTTGAACAAATGGTGAAAACTATGCAGTGCCCATCCAAAACACCACATTAACAGTCATCAAGCTGTCGGATGTGAAGAAGAAATTCAGAGTTGGGCTTCTACATACCCGCATCACCGAGTCTGCCACACTGCAGCGAGTCCTTTATGTCCGTTCCAGGTAATGAACCGTTTAAGTTTTTATATTTAAAGAAGGCTTATTTAGAGAATAATTAACTTTAAAGGTTCATTGAATTCAGTGCTGGCAATTTCTTCGCGATCGCAAAAGAATGAGACAATATGCGAGTTTTAAGTTAAATTTAATTGACTTCTCTACTGAATTATAGTATTAAATGAAAATTTACATTCTTTAACATTGTTTTATTACTTAACTGCTTACTCACAATGCTAATTTAAAAAGATAAGGATAATTTCAAGCTTAACTCTGCCCAAATGATTTAATTACCTTTCGGGGGACTTTATTCCAATTATAAGTGGGAACAGACATTCAGTAGATTTAAAGTAGGGCCAGCTGGAGTATAATTAGCATGACCATTGCTGTAGGTAATATTAAAGGCAAAGAATTATATTTTTTGGGATATTGTTACTTAATGCTGTTTGTAATATATTTTTTTTATAAAAAACTTGTATAAAAATGACGCTTGCGGGTGTCACAAAATCAGGGCAATCTCAGGTGCGTGATAAAATCCGCACGATATTAAAAAACTCATATATAGGGGTACGAAAGATTACCCATAACGTATTAATTAAACAGTTTTCCTCGGTAAACGAAGGAGCGTGGCCATCCCCTCTCCAAACCAGTCTCCAAAATATCAATGAAGCGAATGCCACTTTACATTTTTCACATTATAAGATGCTTCTCTGCGATATTTCCTTAAGTACTCTCGACACAAACAAGATTTGTTAAAGACAAAAGAGTGGTTTATTCTTTCCGAGTACTTACTCGTCAAGATATCGATGAAGTAAGTAAGTTAAGACTGATAAGTAAATAACCTTGTGTTTCTTATATTTCCACAAACATCAACCATATATCAAATTTCTACTGGTCCCAAGCTGCCAAAACTGTATGTATTGTCGAAGATATATACACAAACTGCATACTGCGCTGTGTCCATCCGCCCAATCTTGAACCAATCTTTTAAAGAATTTAATTACATGAGCATGACTGTACATCTAGCAAAGCTAATAACTACTTACTAGCAAGAAATTTCATGATCGACGACCTCCGTGGCTGAATGGTATATACGAAAGGTTTCGCATACTTTGAGGTCCCGGGTTTGAATTCCGGAGGGGGCGAATGTTCGTATGATGAATACGAGCATTTGTACCTTAGTCATAGTTGTTTATATATCCTCCTGACACCTGGCGTCCTTTTCAAATTGCTAAATAAACCGTAGTCTAAAGGCCGAATATATTTGAACTTCTTATTTCGACAACGAACGATCCACCTTCAGGTAGCATCAATTCCCGAGTGTTTGTTTATTTCCACTAAAAAAGTATTGGACACGTGCACTAAAAAAGTATTGGACACGTGATTGCTTGCAGCCAATGAAATTTAAGCAATGGCGATAGTAATCCTTTGAGTTCGATAGAAATGTCAAACCTAGTGGCCGTCATTCTTGCGATGTGTGCTCTAGAAGGTCACAATAATGAGGGCACGTGGCCGACGCAGTGAGTAAAACTTCAACTGCTTTTGATAAATTCACTTGTTTTAATGTTGATTTTTTATAGCGACAAATTATGCAGGGCCGCGGTAGCATAATTAGTCGCATAATTTGTCAGTGCATTCGCACGGATTGCGAAGGGTGCGGGTTCGAGTCCCGTCTGCTGCCTGGTCCGCGTGGAACTTTTTCTAGTTATATTTTCTTTAGTAAACATTATTTTGAATTCACTTACTTTAATGGGGAAATAAAGAAAAATAAAGTAATTAAACGGCCGTAAATAAATT